TGTCCTGAGAACGTGCCGACCTCCAGGCACGGCCGCTGGCCCCGAGCCCAGAGCATCCACGCAGATATTAATTACATTAATTATACCTTTTGTTACCCTTTTTCCCTCAGGTCCAGTAAATTGAAGCAAGAAGTGAGTAAAATGCAGTCATCCATGCTTGCTGATTTATCGTTTCAGGAAAATAAAAACCTGTCAGGAGCTTGGGAGATTGTGCCTTTTGTTTGGGACAAGCCTCCGGCTTCCTCCATCGTGTGTAAAAGATTTCCTGTTTGTGAAAATGAAAAGCAGTGTTTGATAAGGTCCCTTCAGCAAAATGAGTCACAAAGGAGAAAATAGATTAAGGATGCTTCTAGATTTGGTAGAAGTTAAATTTCCCTGGGTGTTGTGAGCATAGAAAACCAAGGAGGCAAATTCAGGGCAAAATACATATTTTATTTATGTTTAGGGTCATTTCAGGCATTTCACGACTTAAACTCACCTTCTAACTTCCAATACAGCATTTAAAACTCATGCTGGGAGCACACAGAGGTGCCCAGGTGGGTCACAAGCTGCTTTGGGTGGTCACAGTTCATGCACTTCCCTCCTCTCCAAAAAAAAAATAAATAAACAGCAGCAGATGCTTCACAGCCTTTGTCAGAGTGTTTGTGTGAGCTGGCAGTGCAGGACTCCCTGTACTCTGATATTTTTTATCTCAGCGCTGCTGAAATTTTTTTTTTCAGCATGAGATTTTTATTGGGTGCAAAGTCCAAGTGAAGTGGCTGGGAGAGCTCTGCTGTGATGGCTGTTGTGTGAATTTTGGCAATGCTGTCTCCAGACTGCTGTGAACATTCTCAGTGTTGTTACTCAGCTCTGTGTGAGRTTAAAATCCTGTGTTTTCCCCAATCTTGAGCAAGGGAAGCACAGGGAGCTCCTGGGAGCCTTTCCAAGGTATTATTTTGCATAAAATTATTGAATCACAATTTCTTTCTGACTCTTCTCCAGCTTTTTATTCCCTCAAAGTATCTTGCAAAATATATTGTCTTTGCACCATGAGCTATCAATATAATTTGAGAGGTTTGGTCAAACTGAGAGGCTGAAGAAAGAAATTAAACCAACAAATAAATTGGAAAGGTTGTGGATTAGGTGCTACATTTGGAGTCACTGAAAAGGTTTGAGGAACAGGTTTAGCTAAGTCCTAATATCAGAGAGAAGTTTGTCCAGGAATTGCTGCAGCTCTGGAAAATCTGGTTTAAAATTTGCTGAAATGTGACACAAAAAGCAGAGTTTTCACTTCAATCTTCTGCATGTTTAGCATGCACTGCTTTAAAGATTAAAAACTGTGCCTTCACTTAATGCAGCGTTTTGTTGGTGAGAATATTTGTATTTCTTCTAAATCCAACCCCAATGGTGTTTGTGGTGTTTGGAGTGGGGACAGTGCAAGGAACAGGGTGAGGGTGGGGACATTGTGGGGCAGGTCTGTCCTCCAGGGGTTTCAGTGATGGGGTGACACACAGGGTGACACAGGGTGACAGGGTGACAAGGTGACAGCTGCAGAGCATGGCAGAGAGTGTGATTATTTTTTTTTTTTGGCTTGTCCAGAGAAGCTGTGGTTGCCCCTGGATCCCTGGCAGTGCCCAAGGCTGGGCTGGACAGGTCTTGGAGCATCCTGGGATGGTGAAAGGTGTCCTTCCCACGGATGAGATGATCCTTAAGATCCCTTCCAGCCCAACCCTTGGGATTCCAGGGAGGGAGGAAGAGCTCAGCAGTAAGACTGGATGGACACAGCCCATGTGATGCAGGCTTTGGGAACACCTGGTGGGAGCAGAAACGGGAATTGGGGTTGTGCTGGGACTCAGCTGGGTCCAGAGCAGCTCAGGAGTGCAGGGACAGGGTTGAGCTGCTGGAATTGAGGGACTGAAATGATGGCTCAGTGCTCAAGGGCTGTTCTGGGAGCAGAGCTGGGATTTGAGGATGTGCTGGGACTCAGCTGGGCCCAGAGCAGCCTGGGGATACAGGGACAGGGCTAAACTGCTGGAATTGAGGGATTTAAATGGTGGCTCGGTGCTCCAGGATTGTGCTGGGAGCAGAGCTGGGATTTGGGGATGTGCTGATCCTCCTCAGCTCCAGGACAGGGCTGAACTGCTGGAATTGGGGGATGGAAATGGTGGCTCAGCACTCGAGGTTTGCACCAGGAGCAGAGCTGGGAATTGGGGATGTGCTGGGACTCAGCTGGGC